ATTGTACTGCCTTTCATCCCTTGACGTTAGGCTTGCGTGAGAATTCGAAACGCCGGACAAATAAACAAATGCCCCCAGCTATCGCCTAGGTGCAGGCTAATGTCGTGCGAACCATCCGCGCCATCTCTCGCATCCGGTCTTTCTGATTTTGTCATGAAACCGGACCTAGGTGAGAGAGAGGAGGAGAGAACGCAGTAGTTGCAGTGCAAGTCAACTATCATTAAACTAATTCATGCGTAAGCCACTGTCCCTGCACCAACCCTGCCGCAGGACACATTGTCGGAATCGACGGCAAAACTGCCAGGTAACAAAGAATTGAGGCATGTTGATCTGAACCCCAGTTGTGCAGTGACTAGTTCGCAGTCGTCCGACAGGGCCAGTGCGTGACAGGAATGTGCGTTGATAGGTGGGAACTGTGTCTGCATCGCTGGCATCCCCACCCCCAGGTCGCATGTATGTAAACGAACGGGTAACTGTCTTGGAACTTTTCAGGATACGTTTATTTCCCTGAAAGGTTTATTGCTTTACAAATGCATACGCGACAGTCCGGTCTTCGCGGACGACGGGACCCATCATTACTTCAAGAGGTGAATCCGGTTGTAGTCCTCATCTCCATCACGCCTTGGTGGCAAAAGTAAGGTAGTGATAGACTAGCCAGAAAATATCACTCTTTTAAAAATTAACCTGGTAAATCCGCGGTATTTCGGCAAATCACCATAATGCATGGTGAAGGACGCCTCTGCAACGCAGATCCGGCCATTTGAATCATAAAACCGGTCCTATGCTGTCGTTCTGCATAAGACGCGAAAATAGTATCTCTCAAAAAACGCAATCCCAGGCAACCCCCTCAACCACTTCGTTACCTGTACAAGCGTCGTGATGCGAGGCATAGGGAATCGAAACCGTGATCTAATTTTTGGCTAGGGTGACGGGAAGTGTCTGGCTCGTTAGCAGTATTATCTTTACCTGTTTCAATTTTTAGTACTTTACTCCCTACCTGACGGCCGACCTGAATATGATGGCCCGCGCCTTCTCCACCACCGTTGCGGAATTGGAAAATGAGCTGGCCAAACTTATTCAAGATGGGAGCATTAAGGCCCGTATAGATTCGCACAGACAAGTGAGTTTTGCAACCTGATTGTATTTCATGTTCGTTCTAAAGCTCCTAATTTTTCTGAATGTTTTTAAGTCACCCTTTGCTATCCCATCACATACTTCTTTCAACTGTCTGCAAGAAGTACAACCCTTTAGCCTGTCTTTACTACTACTACTACTACTACTACTACTACTACTACTACTACTACTACTACTACTACTACTACTACTACTACTACTACTACTACTACTACTACTACTACTACTACTACTACTACTACTACTACTACTACTACTACTACTACTACTACTACTACTACTACCACTACTACTACTACTACTACTACTACTACTATTACTATTACTACTACTACTACTACTACTACTACTACTACTACTACTACTACTACTAGTGCAGGGAAGACTAGAACGACGGCTCGTGGCTTATCTGCCTTCGTTAGCCTGCCATACTCCAATCCCAGGCCGGAGGGCCTCGGAGTTACACTCATGTAACTGGGTTATTTGGTTTGCTGCTCTACCCCTTAAGCCAAGGACCCCCTCTCCAATGACGAGGACCTAGTACTGAAGCCTTAATAGCCACATGTCTTGGCGGACGTCGGCTGAAGGTCGGCCCTACCGAATTCTTAGTGTGAACGACGAAGAATGTTTCCAGGCTGATCTGTTTGTTCTTTCTGGATGATGTAAAGTACTCTGGCAATGTTATTACAGCGAGTGAGAACTGTTTCATTCAGTACGCGGTCGGCACACTACTTGGGATATCGTTCAAAATCCACAGTTGTCGTCCCTTTTTTCGGCCGAGTTTCGGTCACACGCCGTCGCCCCCCGCCTCTGAAAATGCCAACCCTTGTGTGTATGCGTTATTCTTCATCATAAAAAGTCCCTCCTTTGTTTGCTCTCTTTGAATCACAGCTCCTCTGCGCGTTGAATGTTGACCAGCGTTGTTCAACCTTCGCTAACGCCATTCGTATTGCCGACGAGTGCCACCTCCGTTGTCAAGCGGCAATCCTGCGGTCCAATCTCATCCGGCACGGCCTGGCCTCGAAGGTTCGATGCTAACGTTCTTCCACCCCACCCTATATTTTATTTACTCACTGCTCACGAAGAACTCTTTATGAAGGAATTCATAAATGCCTGCAAACTGAGGCCGTGAATAACTATGCTCACGAGAGTCACGTATAAATACTACAGCCTCCCTTAAATATTCGCCGAATGTATGAAAACTCATCTTCTAAACTCTTCCATCCATCCAACCGTTGCTCATGGTGTAAAAAGTAAAGCCGAAACAAAAGGTTTGCAGTTCTTTGTTTTTACCCTGAGAGCAGCTTATTCAAAACTTGTCCGTCTTCTGCAATCATTTGAGCCAGCGCCAAATTCTTCCTACGTCTTATTTATCCTGTCGTTTTGTATCTAGAATTTCTCAGACATATTTGACTGACAATAGGGGATATCTTTAGAAGCCCCATTTTCGGTCATGCCCATATGTGACGAGGCGATATCGGGGAGTGGTGAACCAATGTTATAAACAGGTAACTGAGATGGTTTTAGTAGTATGAGACCGCTCTGCATATTTCTCGCCGAGTTGTTGGATTTACCATAATTAGCTACAGAGCGACCTCTTATACCTTCGGCTACCGCTGGCTGCCTCGGAAGAAGCACGACCTCCACTCCTGTTATACTTTTTGACTTAAACAACGTCGGCTGAAGTCCTTTTTTTCTAGTACACCCTTCTGCCCTATGCCCACTGTCAGCAAAGACAAACTCGGAGTTTCAGACGACTTAATATCCCATCACCGATTCCCCTCACGTGTTAATACGACAGAATCGCTATTATTTCCTAGAAGGATTGAATTTATTGCATGTGTCGAGGCTGTTTGTTCCCGAATTCAGCGCACGCTTCGTCTTTTCGCATTTTCCCGGCGTTAAGTTTTTTAGTCATTCCAACTGAGAATCTCCTTTTACCTTTATTGCTTATCCTAATTTTTACGCCGCCAGCAACCTATACCCTATGAGATGCGCGCAATGTTCCAGCCACCGGCAAGATGGAGGGGTGGCCTTTCCCGTGCAGAACATAGTGAGACCGTCTGACGCCTCGTTACCTATCCTCATCCTCCCGGCTCCCATTTACATTTGAGTCCTCAGTGTCTGCCCATGTCTGCGACAAGTGAAATCCCGATTACGCCGTCTGCTCCCGATTCTCGGTTGCTCTTCTAAACTCTCCATCGACTGTTTTCGCGTGTTTTATTTTTTATCGCGAAAAGTTATTTCTTCAGTCACTTTGTTCACTTATTTGGCTTCTCCTGCAACGAGATCGCAATACTATTTTCTGTCGGACGCTTAGCAAGCATGTTACGCAATCACGTCCGAAGTCACTGTCTCGTCTGAGTTCTGCCTACTACTGCAAAGCACACTACGCTGTATCTCTTAGGTAACCGCGACGGACACTGTACAGGTGGCTGAGCGGACCAGTCAGTCGTAAAAGAAACGGTGGCGCCGGTTGGTTATTCAGGTTTTAAGTGCTTCGGATACCAAGTTTGACTGTCTCATGGCATTTTACTGTTTTCATGATCCCGGAGTGTCTATTTGGACAATTAGAATGTTGGGACTGGATTCGGAATGTTGGAGCGGATGCAGTGGCATGCGGCAAAATTTGCTTGTAAAATCATACGCCCAGGCAAAAGACCTTAAATTTATATGAATGGTAGAATTTGTTAACACTTCCATGCCAGAATTCCCAAATTTCCACCAAAATACATGTATAACAGTGAATTGAGTTCATAAGTCACTTCGAATCCGTAACCCTCACCGACAACAACGTGCCAAGTAGTTCCACATTTCTTGTCCAATTCGTCTTTCAGGCACTGCGCGGCGCTCTAGAAAGCAAATAAGTGGAGGTTAATCAAACTGCTTTACGAAACGAAATATTTGATCATTAAGTTCTGTGGGCACCTTCGCTTTATCTATTGTAGGCATATTTTGCCAAATCAATACATACTTACATGCAGGAACTATTCCCAAATCATTCTGCATGAAACTAGACTAAGGTAATCGACTAATGACACATCCGGCTAGTTTTTGCTTGCTGAAAGATAGATAAGTTGGGACGTCTGGAGGAAGAAATTTGCCAAAAAGGGGTGAGTATGGACGCTAACTTCACACTCTAGTCGGAAGGTATTGCCGATCGAGACAGGAAGGAGTTAAAACGGGTATTCTAGTCTGCCTGCCGTTGTTAGACAACAGAGAACCCGGAAAACCCACATGCATACCCTGTCAGTGACGATGGGGTGTCTTCAAAGTCGTGCGGGAATGGTGTGCGCCTATCTGTTTCAGTCACGAGACTTAATAGGGGGCGACGCTTGCTGCCTTGACCTTTCGGTATGGAGTTCTGACAGGCGATCTGTAAGCAACGCACAATAGCTTGTAGGTAGGCTTTGCAAAAAAGGTCAAGCACTGTAGTAGCTGCTTCTGACTTAATGCCGTCGTCAGCGCTATCTTGGTCTTCCCATTCTGCCATCTTGCGCACCTACGTATGACAGTTCGGCAGTCGCGGAAGACGTCCCCCAGATGTCACACAACTATACAGGCACATTGTCGGTGACTTGCACTTAAATTAGTTTATATTGGTAGTAAACTCGCGTTGAAACTGCCACAATGTTCTCTCACTTGCCTGAGCCCGATGTCAAGGCAAAGCCGAGGATCGGGCGCAGTGGCTGACGAGCCAAACAGCGCGCCTATGCTCCTACAAACGTCTGGTTCGCGTATGATAGACCTGGATCTCATTTGAGTAGGTGAATCATAGAGGTCACATTACTAAGGAGCCATTGGAGTCCAGGTCTCTGTCCGGAGAAGGGAACCGAGTTATGTCGTTATTTGGTAGCCATCCAGGCCACGTCTTCTGGGCCACCGTGACAGATTAAGGCGCGTATGTTTGTTGATATTGAGGGGTGTGCGCTGACTGCTGTGGGGACCGATCAACCATTCGGTCTCATTGGTCTCCCAGGCACCAGTTCCTTATTCGGATCGGCCACGTGTCTAATGCGATAATTAGGCACAGGGGGCTAGTGTGGCGTGGGCCTGCGTCTAGACGGGTCATCAGATCCCATGTGCAGTACCTGCTATAGGTCCGCAGACCGGATAACGCATTTCATTCCTTTATCTATCCCTAGCGTTGGTCCGACCGACTCCCGCGTGACACGCTGTATGAACCAGACATTTGCACAGATTGGCTTGTTCAGGGCCTGCTGTCCTTGTCCTTCCAGTAGGCCCTTTCACGTTCAACTTTCCTTATGATAAACCGTCTATACAGGGACGGGTTCTTGCACTTGGTAGTTCTCGAAAAAGTTTAGTGACACATTCTCATGATTCAGCCCGCCTTTAGTCGTTTTAGCATTGTTGTGCCATCAGAAGAAAAAGGGTGAGGGGGATAGAATACAATGAAAGCTTCGCAAACCTGCCTCGCCATAAACTAATTCACACGAAAGTCACCGTCCTGCACCCACTTCTTGCGGTACATGGCGGACACCGTTGTTTACGACGATCGAACTGTCATGTCGTGACCTTATAATTTTGCTGTTTGTGAATGGGAGAGGAGGACACTGGAAAACGATGTCACTTGAACGCACCCTATTGTCTGCGGGATATTTCTCACACGCCGTCACGCAGTACTCCACAACTTCGGAACGCATCTCCTCCGGCATATCTGAGCACTAAACATAGAAGGAGACTTCAGTGTATATACGTGTAATAGAAAACAGACGTAAAAACAACCGGAACCTCCAACAAAGACTTACACAGGGCAGTTTGTGCGCTCTGTTCAAAATTATTAAAAAAGCAAAAATTACTTGACATAGCATAAACTTAGTTGCAGGCTGGAGTCTGTCAGACGGGACTTACTGACACCATGAATAGACATCTCAATCTTGAAAAAAATTTTCTGTCCCGTGTCTGTTATTATTTAATGTCATTGTGGCTCTACGTTTAAAATGTTTATTACGCCTCCAGAAAACGACTACGGCAAACAAAAGTAAGGCAAAGACGTTTAGGAAGTATGGGGATGTTTTAAGGAAATTGTGTAACAGCAACAGCATCTCCAAGTGATGTGGACCGGATGCCTATCCAACTGGGCATCAAGCCAACCTACCAGAGGGCTCCTGGTCACATTGCGTTCACTACTTGCGTCTTGCGCAGTAATGGGCCCCACAATGTGGAGTGTTCCGTGTTCGGTAAGATACTTTCGTCTTTAACGCTGACAAGCATGTGGTGACAGAAGGGAAATTACTTTGTTGGTCAGACGATTCGACCATCGTGGTCGACGATGTTCACCGTGTGCTCCACAGCAAGTTGGAGCAGGCAAGTGGATCTGCACTGCATCTATCACAATCCCTTTCCCTTCACACCGGGGCCGGTGCCTAAACGTCGTTAAGAAGACCGGAGTTGAGGGAAGGCGCAGGTGGCTGGCACGACCGAACCCTCACCTGGACGTACCACCACACTCCTGGTCTACAACAAACACTTGACCAGGATCTTCGCCAAAAACAGCACGACAACGGGTCAGGAATAGGAGAATGACCGGGTAGCCACGCTCACGACCTGTACGCCCGACGGGAGCGAAAACACATCTACCGGCAGGAAACCAGGTGCGAGTGAACTGCCAGTGCACCCCAGGCTGCGAAGCCCATGGTTTGCTGATCAAATCATTACGTCCGGTAGGGATAGAACTTAATACCTCGTAGTGTGATAGCTGCTGGAATACTCAAGTCCCTGCAAGGTCTGGATTTACATGCCCCATACAGTCAATAAGATCCTGATCATCTAAACTTCAAGACAACAAACTCCGTCCGCAATTTGACCTACCATTCGGACAGCAGTGATCAAACATGCTTTTGTCACAAGTATCTGTGCTTTCTGCTGTTCAGTAGATCCCTTTTCAAAAAATGATATGGTGGAAGCTGAAACGCCCTGGACAGGCTTTCTCCGTCCCATGGAATACTGAATATTTTAAAGAAGTGCTTTTTCGCTAAGATTCTCAAGTGAATACTCCAGTAAGATGAGTCTGCGGTACGATGAGAGACATGCTCGACGCTAATCTATCCCAGCTTTACCAATTCTAGATTTGGTTTACCACTGATTCTTGACGGTTACCTAGTTTGAAAGAACGTCCTCGGCGATCTCGCATTTACTGGTTCCAGCTTCAGACAGAATTACTTATATTTCATTCTATATTCAGGCTAATTAGGTGCATGCCACTCTAATTAAAACAGGTCCGCTGGAATAATGTTTGGTCACATATGGTTTTAATAATATTATTTTTTATGTTGGGACCTCATTCACCGACCACGTAATGGGATATGATCTTCTCGGTGTGACCTGGCACTCAGTATAGAGTTCACAAAGACAGTCGCGCAGGGACCATAAATATATGCTGGAAGACCGACAAAGACCTGGGAAGTTAGAGTAGCCACTTCTGACCCATTAGTGGCCATCAACCAAACACACCAAACCAGTGGTTTAGAGTGTCTGGGATTCGAGTTCTAGAGCTTATGTCATTGAGTAGGACGCTCTAAAATTGAGCCATTGGTCCGTCCGTTGCAACTTAGTATGTGCTGCTTCCCGATCAGTGAAAGCATTTGCAACATTATACTTCCGACCGCAATCGATAAGACAGCGGGCTCGTGGCTCGGTGTCCTGATGTCCGACTTAAAGACCAAAGATCCAGGAAACGGACCCCGTCCGCTTCAAACGTGAGGTTGGGCATAACTTGTTAAAAACGGCTTATAAGCCAGGATGCTACGTGGGACGTCCGCTGGTCCACCTGTATAGCTCCATGTGGCTAAGTCACGTTCAGCAAGGTCTTGGACGGTTCCGATATGTCCCAGTCAAGGTTGGTAAATTTCCACTACATCTGAGGGAATGCGCCTTGGGCGGCAGAATTGATATCTCAAAAACAAGTCATAAACGAGGAAAACGTGGCGTCCCCCCTGCTAATTTTGTTTCAATGGTAAGATAAGGGAGAGTGGACTGGTGTAATGACAACCACGTTTGTTTTTATGTAGACTTCTCAGGGTCCCTCCAGCCCCAAGGACAAAGAGAGGGTTAAGTGCCGTTAGTTATGGTAGGGCTAAATTAGGCCGGAGTGAAACATCTTCAATTCACTGATTCCTAGGCATATCTGGGCCACACGTGCGGTGAAGGACTAGGGTAAGCTTACACCTCCCATCCTAGAGATGTTTCTTACTTGTGCATTCAGAACACATATCTTAAATTAATATTACATCCGAAGCATCCAGCATATTGAAATTTCATAGGAGTAACATTGAAAAATTTTAATAAGTGGGATTCCCACTAACAGCTAAAAAACAAAGCCATGTAGTTATTCAATTCAAGGACCAGCGATTATATACTGGGCTTTCTACGTAAGTTAGCTTTAAGGCCTATTCACACGACAACGTTACGTGTGTGTGTGTAACTTCGTGTTTAGAATGAGATTTTACCTTTACTAGTGGGTACGTATAAGCATGGTTATCTTGTGTTTGTCCTTCCTGCTCAACTTCAGCTGTTTCCATTACAGAAGGATTTAGAAAATTCGCCGACAGCAGTGCGTTACCATGACGACGCTCAAGGACGGCCAATGTTCTGGTAATCAGAAGGCGGTACATGTTTTGGTGATATTCTATAAATAAAATGCATAATTGCGATATCTTAAAATAACGTTAGCGTGTTATGCATAAATCTAAAGAGGACTGATGAAGGCATTACCTCGCAAGACCATCTACAGAGATGTACGAAGGGCCAAACTAGTCGAGGGACCAAGGACCAAAAATACTATACTTGCGGAATAAATGACGAAAAATAAAATTTCGAGCAGAGACCTCATGAACGTTTGTAGCAAATTTTCAAAGGCAAAGCACAAACGTTTCCATTAAAACGTCTAACCGACTGATTTATTGATTGGGAAACTCGCGTGCATTCTACGCCATCTAGAATATTAAGACTCCCGCTGCGAAGGTGTGGAACGCAATTTGGATGCGTGGCATATGGACGCTCAACAGGAAACTGGAAGTTGGTCGATCACATGCGAACTGATAATAAAGTAAGTAGAAAGAATTTCGCCTCCGGATTGGGGCGAATGAAAAAATAGACGGTGTGTTGGGCTGTGACGAAGCCACGCCAGGGTATCGTGCGCCTAAGTTTTTTATTCGGTTAAAAGTACTGAGTTAATAGTTAGCCAAATGGAAATTCGGTTTTCTTTGAAAAACTTAAATTCTTCCTAAATATACGGGGTTTGAAATACTACTGTACTTTACTCCGGGAGTCCATTCAAGTACGCAATTCGGGCTAAATCAAGGAAGGCTAAGAAGAATTCCATTGAGTATGATCAAAGACAGGCAGAAAACGGAGCAACGAGCGGTGCCAAGGAAGAGACAGATAAGTAGTCGAGAAAAAAATGATTATGGTTATTTTTACTATAAGCTGAGGAAAATAGCCAGCGGTCAAATACTGCATAGCATAAGGCAGACAAAGAAGGTAGAGTTAATTGAAGGAAACCGGTGTGGGTTTGGGCTAGAGAACGTCTAGGTAACGCACCTAAGTAAAATAGAGAATACAAGTCGTTGGAATAAATTTAGTTCAAACTCTGGCGTGCGCTTAAGACCTCTGATTAGTCATATCAAAGTTTATGCCGATAAGTAAAAACGAACCATTTTTGTAATCTAACGCGCACCTGGCGGCTTTCCATCTATATGCCTGTACCTCTATACTGCAAGCTACTTAGTTATTTGTTAACCGAAAGAATTAAGGACAGAACTAATTGATTCGATAAGTGCAGTAGGTGGAATTAAACGACGTCTCCGTAACCTGTGTTGTTTAATTGGAGATCAGGTTTTAGTCAAGTAGAATTAGGCACAGTTCTTAATAAAAAAGATAAAAGTTCGATTTTAAGCTCGGTTTAGAGTTCGGGTCTAGTTTAGGGTTGGGCTTGCGTAGGGATAAGGGTCAGGTTTTCGGTTATGGTTTGGTTCGAGCTAGGGTATGGTTAGGGTTTAGGGTCCAATTTAGAGTTGATACTTGGCTAAGGTCTAGATTAGACTTTAGGGTTGGATTAGGGGTATGTTTTAATTTTAGGTCCACGGTTAGTGTTAGATTTGGTGTTAGAATTCTGTTCAGGGCTAGAGTTGGGCATACGTCCAGTGTGAGGGTTTAGTTTTAGGTTGGGACTAGTTTTCGGATTTGGTTTGGCGTTGAGATTATGCTAGGGCTTAAGTATAGGGTTAGGACTTAGCGCAGAGTTAGAAATGAATAAGACGACTGATTACCTGCTTCACTCAAATGCAGTGTGCGTTAAACATAATAAAAAGATCGAATTTCCTCGGCTGAACGGAATTATCTCAAACACCTTAGATTTTTATCGGAGATTCCAATGAGAAAAATTATCCTAAAGCTTCCCATCAATGTGTAGTGTGCGAATAACCTAATTTGTACGCTTAACGTTACTGACGACACGTGCTCCAAACGTTAATATCTAGGGTGCCTTTGATAACCGTCGCGAATGTAATAATTCATAGCGCATTGGGTGTGTTAAAGTAAGTGTGGTTGAGTCAAAAAATCGCATTGGCCTCCGTTTCGTAAGCCACGAGTAAAAAGTCTTTTTGGAACCGTCTGACAGTTTTAAGAAAACAACAGTAGAAGCTATTTCATGCTGAGTTAAGTTAAACTAATAGCTTCCTCTGAAAAGAGGTTATGGGTCATTTGAATGTCCTTAGAACACAAATAAACTCGACGTCATGGGGTGGAATCATGGTCGAATTTGAGAGTCATTACTAATTTTGAAGGCTAAATCCTGGATATTCATGCCACAGAGTACGTTCTTAACATCCTCAGTGTTCTGCACAGCAACACTGACTGTTTTAGTGAGTCTGCAGGAGGGTTTTGCCAACCCCAAAGGGAAATATTCACAAAAACTCCTACAGCGTTACAGAGAAAAGTGGCGACGTTTCGAGGCTACTCCTTCTGTATTTGTTTGCGTCCTTTAGTACTCAGCGTGACAAGAAAAATTACTGTCTACCAAGTTTACTACTGCGTTTTATGACAGATAAGACCACCAATTTACAAATCCAAAAAATTTAAGCAAATCCGGCTCCGGTTTCTTGAAAATAACGCGATTTCCTATAATCGATAACGCATGATTATCTCGGACGCAAAATCTAATTTATTCTATTCAGAAAGAGACCCGACGGAAATCTTTATAAGTATCAGTTTGGTTTTTCGCAATAAAAAGAGCACAAACAAGCAACGTTGACCTGTAATACTCAACAATGTGGAATGTATTTAGATATCAAGAAGATTTCCCTCTTTCCTGGACTTTCCTATTTATCTTTGCATAAAACAAATTTGAAACGAATTCAACTTTACTTCTTGCACACTTTAAACTAATCTAATAGTCCTATGTGCGTTAGTACTATTGATTCAGATTTCTAAAGATCCGCTTTACTTGGAGTAAAAAAGACAAGTAACACTAACAGCGATGCGTTTGCGCTGTGACGAACAATCGGTGGGCTTCACAAATTAGTGAGGAGTAAAAAACTCCTATTATTGAATTCAGATGCCGTTTGATAGGCAGGGAATTGTGTAATCCGACGAAGAAAAATCAAACATGCAAAGTTAAACTGCTTAGAGGGGAAACCCGCTCATAGATTATGTAATGGGTGTCCGAGTACTCGATCATCCAGCTGTTGAGTGCATACGTATATATTGTGCAAAATCCTGGTCAATTTTACCTTGTGGATGAAGGGGTCCAATGCCAGCTTTTGCTGTGTCAGCCACCTGCGTCCTCTCTTGGTGCCGGTCTTTTTAACTCTGGTAGATGGCGCTCACCGATCGTTCTTATGGAACTCGCCCTTGCCGTTGTGCCTTACGCGCTCACTCTCTTGAGCCCAACCAGCAGCCGCACAGCGGCGCATGATATATAGGCAGAATAGTATTACCGACAAAGACAAGGGAGACTGGAATGGCCATTTCTGGCTTATTAGCCGTCGTCAGCCAGCCATACCCAAGCCCGAAGTGTGGAACACTCGAGCCTCTAACTCGCAACCTTTTGGTTTAGAAGTCCACGCCTCTACCCACCGGGCCACGAGCCCGTTGTCCAATCTTTCTGGTTCAAGAGAGAGTCCATAAAGCACATCGGAACGAGTGAGTTCCGTGGGAACGATCGATGATCGCCCCTTCATCACTGTATATTCCCGATCGTAACCGGCAGGACAACGAACCCGTGGCCCAATGGCTAGAGGCGTGGACTTATAACAAACAGGTCGCGAGTTCGAGCCTCGGGTGTGCCACACTTCGGGGTTGGGTATGACTGACTGGCGACGACGAATAAGCCAGAAATGGCCATTCCAGTCTCCCTTGTCTCTGTCGGTAATACCATTCTTTCGGACACTGTCATGACGCTGGCCCCGGCGGGGAGGATGAGAAAATGTGGTAGACGCTGCGAAAGTCAGTTATCCCCATCAACGAATTTGCGCACCAGTCACCTTCCCCCTCTCCCCTAGCTCCCACGCTGATGCGGAGCAAAATGCAGACTTCGTCGGTAGCCACGGTCGAGCTGTCGCATTCGAAAGGCTCAGTGTCCAGGAGAGATACAGTGCGTGACCGATCTCATAAAATGTTGGCTGAAATTCTGAAATGCGTTTTCGATTAGGAAGGATTACTTGGGCGCAGTTGTAATATTGACTAGCTGGCGCCATACTCTTATAACATTTCGTACTCGACAGGATGTCGGCTTTCAAATGCACTTCTTCCCAATCTCCTGTAGAAAGCGTGCCCGGTAAAAAATGACTACTTAAATAGCATGCATTTTTCCCATTGATTTTCGATGGTGTTGGAGATTCAAATATATTTTATAAAAACCATAAACAAAATATGCTTTTTTTAGTCAATCAATAGAGAATCGCGTCTTCTTTATATTTTATACTTAAGGAAGGAGTATAATTAGGTTTTAAAAAAGTTTTCTAATTGCCGAATAATTTGGAGTCTGATCATTCGTTGCATTAGCGCTTAGTGATTTCACTCTACAAGGTGTAGGCATTCCGCGTAAAGAAAATCACGTATTTTTCTATGCGTTAAAGAGATATAATACAGAGTCCATAAAATTTTACAATGGATGCGGACTATATTGTATAGTCCATTAGGAGCAGTGGTGAACGGTTAGGTACGATGCTATGTGGATGGACATTTCGCGGTCTTAAAAAGTCTCATAATTAAAAACTTTTTTAAGACCTAATTATACCCCTTCCTTGAGCATAAAATATAAAGAAAACTTGATTCTCTATTGATTGTGCAAAAGAAAGCCTATTTTTGTTTATGGTTTCTATAAACTATATTTGAATCTCCAAGACCATCGAAAATCAATGGGAAAAATGCATGCTATTTAAGTAGTCATTTTTTACCGAGCACGCTTTCTACAGGAGATTGGGAAGAAGTGCATTTGAAAGTCGATATCCTGTCGAGTACGAAATGTTATAAGAGTATGCCGCAAGGTAATCAATATTACAACCGCGACCAAGTAATC